ACACGACGGCGGTGGTGGGCAGCCTCCTGGATGACCAGCACTGGCACTCGCTGCACATTGAGCGCTATGGCCACCACGTCAACCTGACGCTGGACGGGGAGGTCAAGCGCTTCCGCTGCCACGGCACCTTCAACCAGCTTGACCTCGACACCGAGGTGGGTGCAGCGGGTGGGGAGCTGCCAGGATGCTGACCTGTGGTGTCCCCTGGCGAGGGGCTGACCCCCTCCCTCTGCCTCCCAGCTCTTCTTCGGGGGGGTGATCGACCAGGACAAGCAGCACCTCACCTACCGGCAAAACTTCCGGGGCTGCGTGGAGAACATCATCTTCAACGGGGTCAACATTGCCGACCTGGCCCGGCACCGGAGACCCAACATCCGCTTCGAGGTCCAGCCCCGGGGGGTGGCCCCTTCCCCGGGGGTCCCATCCCTGCCGTGGGGGGACCCCTTTCTTGGAGGAGGGCCAGGTCCTCAGCCCCGCTGTGGGGTGACTCCTTCCTGGGGGCCAGGTTCACCCCCCCTGCTGCGGGGTGACTTGAGGCCAGGCAGCAGCCGTGCTCAGCCGAGCGGTGCCGCATTGACTGCGCGAGGTCGCTCCTGGCCTGGGGCGCCCACCCGGCACTGCCAGGCGACAGGATCGAGTGGGGGCAATCGGGGCCAGGGCTGTGGGGATGGGGGGGCCTCCCTGCCATGGGAGCATCCCCTTCCTCACTGCCTCCCGCGGTCACCCCCAGGGCAGCGTGGGCCACTACTGCCAGGACCAGCTGAACACCCCCATCACCTTTGCCGGCATCAACAACTACGTGCGGGTGCCGGGGATCCCGCGGAGGAACCGCCTGGCCGTCAGCTTCCGCTTCCGCTCCTGGGACACCGCTGGGCTCCTGCTCTACACCAGCTTTGCTGACCGCCTGGGCTCCCTCGAGGTGGTGTTGAGCGAGGGGCAGGTCAACGTCTCCATCGCCCAGCCCGGCAAGAAGAAGCTGGAGTTTGCCGCAGGTGGGCTGGGGAGCCGGTGCAGGGCTGGGGGCCAGTCTGGTGGTGGTGCCTCCCCATGCACCCTCCTCTCTGCGTGCAGGGCATCGCCTGAACGACGGCTTCTGGCACTCGGTGCAGCTGGTGGCACGGGATGGCTCTGCCGTGGTGACCATCGATGATGACGACGGCGCCGAGTTTCGGGTGGCACACCCCTTCCAGCTCCGCACCGGCAGCCAATACTTCTTCGGAGGTGGGCGGCGGGGTGGGGGCCAGGGGCGATGTGTGCCCGGGGGCCACTCACCCCACTGTGCCTTGCAGGCTGCCCCAAGCCAGCCTCGGTCACCGGCTGCTGGTCAAACCAGACGGCCTTCCATGGCTCGCTGCAGATGCTGAACGTGGACATGCAGCCCATGGACGTGGAGCTGCTGGTGCAGCACCGTCTGGGGCAGTACTTCAATGTGCTCTTCAACGTCTGTGGCATCACAGACAGGTATCAGTTGGGACAGGGGTGCCGGCTGGGAGCAGGCGGGGGCCGGGGGGCTGCACCAGTGCCAGGACAGGAGCCCTCTGCGCCCTCAGGTGCACCCCCAACTTGTGTGAGCATGACGGCCGCTGCGTCCAGTCCTGGGATGACTTCATGTGCATCTGCGACCTGACGGGGTACAAGGGGGAGACCTGCCACAAATGTAAGCCCGGGACCTTGTGGGTGGGGGGACAGGATGGGCACCCACAGCTCCTCCCACTGCCTGGTGCCCCCCCTTGCACTGACCCCAGCCCCATTTCCCTCTTCCAGCCCTTTACAAGGAGTCGTGTGATGCTTACCGGGTCAGCGGGAAAACCTCGGGGAACTACACCATCGACCCAGACGGCAGTGGGCCACTCAAGCCCTTCACGGTGTACTGCGACATCCGAGGTGGGGGCGGCAGGAGGGCGTGGGGGTCCCTCTGCCCAGTGCCCCCAGGGACCAGCCCCTGCCTGTGCACTGGGGCCGGAGAAGGATGGAGGGAGCAGGGGTGTCCCGGGGGGCCGGCCCTAACAGCCCCCCCACCTCCACAGAGGACCGGGCATGGACCATCATCCGGCACAACCGCCACTATGCCACGCGGGTGACAGGCTCCAGCGTGGACCAGCCCTACCTGGGGGCCGTGGAGTACTGGAATGCCTCCTGGGCCGAGGTCTCGGCACTGGCAAATGCCTCCGAGTACTGCGAGCAGCGCATCGAGCTCCACTGCTACAGCTCCCGCCTGCTCAACACTCCCTGTGAGCGCTGAGGGGAGCGGGGCCGTGCCACAGGGCTGTGCTCTGGGGCCATGCCTTGGGGCCATGTCCTCACCCTCCTCTGTGCCCTCAGCTGGGCTGCCCTTCAGCTTCTGGATGGGCCGACACGATGAGCGGCACTACTACTGGGGGGGCTCACGGCCGGGCATCCAGCGCTGCGCCTGCGGGTTGGACAAGAACTGCGCTGACCCCAAGTACTTCTGCAACTGTGACGCCGACCACGCGCTGTGGTGAGCCAGCGGGGGCTGCGGGATGGGGGCTGCAGGATGAGGGCTGGGGGCACAGACTCTGGCGGGTTCAGGCAGGGTTCAGGCCAGGGTGTGGGCTGGTGAAGGGGCAGAAGCCCCTCACAGCCCCTCCGAACCACATGCTGTTTGCAGGAGGACAGACAAGGGTCTACTGACCTTCGTGGACCACCTGCCCGTCACCCAGGTTGTGGTCGGAGACACCAACCGCTCCGGCTCCGAAGCCCAGTTCCTGCTGGGCCCCCTGCGGTGCTACGGAGACCGTGAGTGACCGGATCCACAGAGGGTCCCCTGCCTGCAGAGAGCCCATGCCTGCAGGGCTCCCGTGCCCATGGAGGGTCCATGCCCATCCCTCACTGCCCCTCCTGCTCCCCACAGGCAACACCTGGAACACCGTCTCCTTCAACAGGGGCGCAGCCCTGCTCTTCCCCACCTTCCAGGCCAACCACAGCCTCGACATCTCCTTCTACTTCAAGACCACCGCCCTGTCCGGCGTCTTCCTGGAGAACCCTGGCTCCCGAAACTACATCCGTGTCGAGCTCAACAGTACGGGCGGGCGGGGGGGCGCAGGGGATGGTGGGACCAGGCACCCCTCCTGACACCGCATCCCCACAGCCACCAGGGATGTGGTGTTTGCCTACGACATTGGGAATGGGGACGAAAACCTTACGGTGCGGTCAGCAGTGCCCTGGAACGACGACGAGTGGCACCAGGTGAAGGCTGAGCTCAATGTCAAGCTGGCACGGCTGCGGGTGGACAAGCTGCCCTGGGTGGTGCGGCCGGCTCCCCCGCAGAGCTTCGTTCGCCTGGACTTTGACAGGCCCCTCTATGTCGGTGAGAGCCCCCGGCCACATCCCTGTGTCCCCAGGTCCCCGTGTGCTGCAGGGCCCTGAGTCTTGGCCCTGCTGCAGGCACGGCAGAGCATAAGATGCGCCCGTTCCTTGGGTGCCTGCGGGCACTGCGGATGAACGGGGTGACGCTCAACCTGGAGGGCAAGGCCAACGAGACAGAGGGGGTGCGGGTGAACTGCACTGGCCACTGCCAGGATCCGCCGGTGCCCTGCCAGAACAGCGGGCTCTGCGTCGAGCGCTACAGCCACTACAGCTGCAACTGCAGCGTCTCCGCCTTGGCGGGGCCCTGCTGCACCCATGGTGAGTGGCTGCGCCCACCCGCACCGAGGATGGGGGCCTTCGCGGGGGCCGGGATGGGGGAGAGGAGCTGGCGCTCCTGTCACCCCGTGGTTCCCCCCCAGACATTGGCGGGTACTTCGAGGAGGGCACCTGGGTGCGGTACAACATCCTGCCGATGTCTCTGTATGCCGCCCGCGAGTTCGCCAGCATCATCAGCAGCCCCTGGCAGCCCTTGCCTGGCTACAACCTCACCAGCGAGGAGGTCAGCTTCAGCTTCAGCACCACCTCGGCGCCCGCCGTGCTGCTCTACGTCAGCTCCTTCGTCAAGGACTACATGGCTGTGCTCATCAAGGATGATGGTGAGGACAGGGCTCCCCACCCCAGGGCTCACCCAGAGCCTATGGGGACCTCCCCGGGCGCTGGGGCCACATGGGACCCTCCTCCCCCCTGATGCCAGTCACCAGCCCTACGGAGGGGCTGGACTCACCCACTGAGAGCCCCGGCACTGCTGACAGCCCCGCTCTGCACGCAGGGAGCCTGCAGCTTCGCTACCAGCTGGGCACCAGCCCCTACATCTTCGCCCTCACCACCAAGTCGGTGACAGATGGGAGGCCCCACCACGTCAACATCACCCGCCTGCACCGCACGCTGTACACCCAGGTACGGGGCCAGGGCATCCTCCCTGCCAGGGCCTGGGGGGCTGCAGGGTTGGGGGTCAGGATGGGAGGAGGCACGGGCAGGGTGGCAGGAGGTGGAGAAGGCTCAGCAGGCACTGACCTGTGCACCTGCCTCCCAGGTGGACTATCTTCCCGTCATGGAGCAGCAGTTCTCCCTGTTCGTGGACAGCAAGCTGGACTCACCCAAAAACCTGTACCTGGGGCGCGTGATGGGTGAGCTGGGTCCTGCCCTTGGCCGCCCCCTCCTGCGCTGGGATCCCCGTGCACACCGGGGTTTCTTCTGCCCAGCACCATCCTTGCCCTCCACAGGGGATGAGCCTTCTCCTTCTGTGCTCCCACAGAGACCGGCGTGATTGACCCTGAGATCCAGCGCTACAACACGCCCGGCTTCTCAGGCTGCCTCTCGGGGGTGAAGTTCAACAGCCTCGTCCCCCTCAAAGCCATCTTCCGCCCCACCAGCGTCGTGCGGCCCTACAGCATCCGGGGGGAGCTGGTAGAGTCGAGCTGCGCCTCCATGCTTCCCCTCACCACCATCCTCATCCCCCCTGAGATGGACCCCTGGTACATGGGCACAGGTAGGTGCTGTGGTGGGACCCCAGCGGGGAGGGAGCCCCCCGGCAAGCGTCAGCTGCGGAGGGGACACTCCAGCATGAGACCCCTCTGCAGCCCGGACTCAGCCACCCGCTCTGTCTCTGCAGAGTTCCCCCACGTGCACGACGATGGCTGGATCGGGATCATCATCGGGTGTAAGTGAAGCACCTGGCTGGTGTTCCCCCTGCCTCTACCCTGGCCCCGCAGCCCCCTGGCCCCTCCCCAGCCCCTCACTGCCGCCTCTCCCCCGCAGTCGTGACCTTCCTGCTCCTGCTGCTCGGGGGGCTGCTGGTGCTGCTGTACTTCTACTACCACCGCTACAAGGGGTCCTACCACACCAACGAGCCCAAGGCCATCCAGGACTATGGCAGCGCCACCAAACCGCTGTCGGTGCGCAAGGACCAGAACCTGCCCCAGATCCTGGAGGAGGCAAAAGGGGACTAGCGGGGCCGGGGGGTGGGACGGGCTCACAGCCCCCACAGCCCTGGGAGCCGCCTGGGGACGAGCAAGCATCGCGGGACCAAAAGGCCGAGCACACCTGAACTGCCAACACCCGCCTCTGGACCAGACCGGACCGCACCGACCGCCAGCTCCTCCCCGCGGCTGCCACCGACCTGGCCCCCAGAGCACGGCCGCGACCCGCCAAGCCCCAGCCCCGCTCGCC